TCCTGCAGAAAATAAGTGTAAAGTCAGCCAAAATTTAAAACTACAACACAACATCCAATACAGCTAGCACATAGGAGGAAATACACTATTTAAGTAATGGCAAAAAAAAAAGGCATAATGAAAAGCAAGATATCTATTGCTTTGCTATACATATGCTTTAGACTTTACAACTTCTCACCTTAGCACAAAYATGTTTCCTTCACCAGGAGAACCATAAGCAATTGGTATTGTTTTTTTCTTTTTAACTTACAAGTAGAGGTAATGACTGCTATCAATAAATTGCAAGAGAATGCACTTATGCTATCTGCAAGCAAAAAAGAGAGATCTACAGAAAAAAACAGAACAACTACCAAACCAATTGGGTTTGCCAGTAATTGTCCTATGGCACATTTTAAGAAAACTTGGAAGGTGACAGCAGTAAATTTTATTGTGAAAACTGAATGCTATATAATCTCCTGTAAGGATATGGTATAGATGTGGGAGTGCAAAGGAGGAGGGGATGGAAAAGGCTTTTTAATTTTATTTTTTTTTAAATATAAAGACCATGCCAAAGAAAATGCAAATTCCCAGTTTTGATGTCTATTTTGAGGATCTGAAACAAGGCTTTTAATCAATGTATTATACATCAAATTGATAATGTTAACTTCTGATTATTCAAATGTATGAAATATTCATAGAGAACTGTCCAAACTTTTACATTTCTCAGACTTCTTTTCTCTATTAATTATCATGCCTGGAAGCTTTTTAGTAAAAGCAGCAGCCATCAGCCTGACTGAACCTGACAAGCTAGCAAGGCCCAATTACACTGGCACTCTGTGGCACTTTGATGTACTGGAAACGAAAAGAGATAGGGGCAAATTGTATAGCACATTATGTTAATGACTTGATTTAATCCAGCCACTAAACTTTATGTAGCCTGTTAAAAAAGATGCTAACACTAATTATGCCACTTTGGAAAGGAAAGAAGGGGACAAGCATTTCATACCGACAAAGTGAAGCTCATAAATGTTGTAAATGAAATGAAACAAAATGAAGTAATCTATGATTAATCATACATCATAGACAAGAAGAAAAGAGAAAGAAGCAAGTGGTACAGTTAAGTACTGGAAAATCTGTTAGATACCCTTTATGATCAACATATCTAAGAAATAACCATGAACTGTCTAATTTGCAACATGCAAAAAAAACCCCAGTATGATCTTAAATGGCTTAAACAGTTTGGCATACAACTCAGATTTAGAGGATAATTAGCATAACAATCTCTAAAAATCACAAGTTTTATTTACAGTGTTTGATTACCAGCAGGATATTTATCTCAAAAGATAAAAGGCAGTAATTTTTAATCTTATAAAATACAAATTCAGTAACAATTTTGACATGCTTTATTCTATAATTAAGAATTCATATAAACCGATGCATATTTTTAAAATCCAATCTTTATCAAACAAATTGTTGTCTTAATAGTTTAGAGGTTTTATTGTTTTATCTACCCTTCATGAACATGCATTTTTGTCACCAGAGGAATAGATCAGTGGAGAAATGTAGAAATTGATGAATCTGAAATGAATCTACACACAAAATTCTTGCAGAAGTGCTCTTAAATAATTGTGATAAAATACATGAGGACTATAAAATTATATAACAAGCATATATTTTGACTTAATAGAGATGAGTAGCAGTCATTTTAGYTCTCAAAATTACAGGTGACAATTTTTTAACATTATACATATAAACAATGCAATTCTGTCTTCAAAAGCACCTTCTGTATCTTTCTGAAGAATATATGAGTGATAGCATTTCTAAAGCCCTTCTGCAGCTTAAAAACAGGAGAGCAATATTTCTCTTACAAAGAATTGKTTCTTGTTGCTTGCTGCTTCGTAGGATGTCTCACAGCCTTGAAAAGAGCATTTTAAAAAAATCAAGCTACCTTTAGGATAYCACACTGCAGAACATTAAAACCGTGAAGTCTGATAGGATCTAACAGCAAAGAAGGCTAAGACASATCAGAAAACTATTAACTGTTAAAAGGACTGTCATCAGTTTTAAGTACTGATGTTTAGTTTTATATTTTAGTTTTATATTTTTAAAGATTGTTCAGTCAATTTAGATCAAACAGTATAAAATATTCTTCTCTTTTACAGAACTATCCTATTGAAATACTGTTCAAGGTAAATTTTCCAAATTTGTATTAATGTCATCTTAGTTTTAAGAATAMCTCAAGAGAACATTGTTAGTGTACTTGCCCATAAATAATAATAGAAAAAATAAGTATACTGAAGTGATTTGATATTGTACATATACAACTTCACTGAAAATTGTTGTTAAAAATAGTAAAGCTACTCTTAAGAGGGCATTAGGCTTAAAATATTTTTCTTAGTCTTGTCAAATAATTGCCCTAAACATTCTGACTCAGCTGTTTAATATTTGGATAATGGACTTTAAATAATATAGTCATCATACAGCTGACAGTWTTTATTGATTCAACAGCATCATCATCTTGTCTACCACCTTGATCTGAAAAACATTAACAGAATCAATGTGGTTAAACCCCCTACATTGTAGTCCATYTGAGACTTGCTGAGGAACCTGAGAGCAATATATGTATTTTTCTWACAAATGAAGAATAAGTGCAGGCAAATCTTTTCTTCCTTGTGGAAGATTAACACTGCAAATMAAGAGTCATCTAAATGGTATTTTTTTTTGGTTTGTTAAAAAGAAATAGTAGTGCTTCCCAGATGAAAGTTGAGGATTGGAATGATCAAAGTCCTGTGATGAACTAAGGTAAGAAGCACTGTGAGCTTTATACACAAACATGGCCTGAATTTGTGGATTTCTTCTGACTATGTTTAACACCATGCACACATTAGGAATAATGTATCCTTTTTAAAAAAATTAAAAAGTATATCTGTATGCAGGATTATTTTCAGAGCATTCTGTGCTTTGAAGCAAATTACTTATAAATACAACAGGGATTCAACATCATGTTTTTTCAATTTTTCTAATGAATTCTTATGCAGAAGCTGCAAACAAATGAACATGAAATTTCAGCATTCTGCTTGTGCTTTTACTGTAAACTTGGTATCATGGACTAGGTTTATTTCAGTGACAAACAGTTTAAGCTCAGAGATGGAACAAGATGACCTGCCTTTTATAATCTTTAAATAAATCTGCCTCTAACAACTTTATGTCACGAATATGATAAGACTTACTACCCCTCTCTCTGTCTGAAAGGATTTCCAATAGCAGCATTGGCTGTTATCTGCAGACAAAAGGAGCATATTCATTAAAATAGTCTTTAGAACAGCATAGTTCTAAGGGAGAATATAAAGACATTTAAAATAGAAGCCACATTTCCTTTAATATTTTATGAATCTAGGTCAGATACCAGATTTTTGCATTCAATTACAATGCAGTTTCCATTTGGGAAGAAAATAACACCACTATATCCACTACCCAGCTTCAGCTATAAAGTACACCAGAATAAAATTTCTGTCATGGAGATTCTCATAATGAGGCAGCTCCCACTGCTAGTAAGAAATGCTTCAGAAAATGGAAAGAGACATAGATTTATTAACAAAATACAGTTATTTATTCATAAAAATGAATGCTACCTTCTGGTTCCAATTCTTCAGTTATTTCTGTCTCATTTCCAGAAGTAATTGATGTTTGGTCAGCTAACTGCTCCTCTGACAGATGTGAGAGCTTTTCTGTCTCCTGTTGAATTTCTTCAGCCATCTCCACCTTATCATTTGCTAGTCTTTCTTGTTTAACCTCCTGTCCCACATGCTACATTAAAAGATAAACCTACAGCCTTTATAAAAACCCTTGAATAGAACATTTTACTAAARTTCAAAACTTGAGGAGTTACGGCCCATATTCATTATGCACAGCYTTTAAACAATGGCATTGCTTACGCAGCACAGGAAACAATGAGAAGCTGTCAACTGCAGTAACAAATAATTGATACAATAAAAAGAAATTCTCTAACGATGTGTATTTGTGAAAACATAACTATTATAATCATTTGGTACCTGTCAACATATATACAACCTCTTAGATTTCCAGATTCATTTATATTTCAGCTCTTTCAGTTATACCAGGCTCAGTTAAAAAAAAATCCCACCCTACTACCATCTTATTCAGTTAGCAATTTACAACTTAAATTATACAGTATTGTCTGTTTCAAAAGCAAGCAAATATCATACAAAATACAGCCTTGCTACATGGTACAAACATTTTCTAAGGAAAAATATACTTAGTCCATAACTTACACTGAGGTAATCTTACTCCCTTGGCTGTCTGTGAGTCCAATTACATATAWTAACACCTCATCAATGGATATAACATTGCAGGGATAGGTCCAGGATGGAAACTTAGTGGTACAGATAGGTCCCTGCACACACATAGAAGTAAGAGGTGCACACATCACTTCACCTGTGTGTGTGTGAATTGATTGTGGTATGAATGTTACTACCTCATATCTACAGTTAAGTTGTCGTTGTAACTGTAGTGAACCCTATGGAATTGCTTGGTAAATTTTAAAATACTAGGTGTTTAAGTGCTGCTAAACTCTTGAACCCTTACCTTTGAATTCCTATCYTGGCACACTTACCCCCTTTGTATTCCTGACTTCAGTATAAGTCATTCAAAACTGCTTCTAATTTATATGCTTTAATTTGTGTAATAAGTGAGTCTTGCCAACCAACTCTGATTCCACAAATTCATATTGAACCCTGCTTTTGCCAAAACTTYTGATAGTGTTTAAGTGGCCAAACCACTTGTTCACAAAACTTGTTTAGGTATTGTATTCCAGAGTTACTCCATTTGTTCATTACTTGCCCCTGCTATATATTGGTAATTTTTAGAGGGAAGGCAAAGCTCCATCCAAATAAGAGCAAAACGTGCAGGGCCAGAAGTTTGATTTTCATGATCCTTGTGGGTCTCTTCCAACTCAGTATCTTCTACGATTTAATCTTCTACGATTTTATCTTCTCTGATTCTGTGAGTTGATCCCAATGTGATCCCTTCCAACCTGAACCATTCTGTCATTCTGTGAATATTTCTGCAGCAGCAATAAGAAGCTGTAATCAAGTCCTAGACAAACAGGCCTTGAAGGGTATTAGAACATCTACTCAAGTTGAAGCAATGAAAGTGCAATAGCAATAGCAATAGCAATAGCAATTGAAAGTGTAGCACCCTGATGATACAGTTAAGAGTATAAGAAGCTATCAAGTGCCAATCTGGGGAAGAGAGAGACTGCCACTTGAACATTATGCCCATGGGAAGGACAGAAGATTGAAATCTTTGCTTAATTTTCCACATTCAGTTTAACCAAATAATAGCACAGCCCATGGTATTTTCATGCTCTGAAAATCACTTTAAATTTAGCATTACCTAATTGAGCTGTCAGTAACAAGTGTCAATATGTCGTAACTTCATATTAATATAGATTAATGTATCTTTTTTTTTTTTTATTTTAGCTATCACTTAAGGCCAACACTGGCTGTGGCCAAAGAAAATATTGAAATATTCCATCTGGTGTTAGATGTCAATAAAGCTACTCAGATAACACATAATGAACTGAAGCCATACTCATTATGGCTTCATACTCCAACTCRCAAAAGGTTGGTCCACTTGATTCCATTAGACTGTTAACAGAAACACACCTTTTGAAAAATACACATTTGAAGAATCAAGGCTAAAAATATTTGAGTTATTTCCTGCCTCTGATCTTCTTTTGTAAAACTTATATATTGCCACAGTATATACCACAGTGTTGAGACACAAAAAAAGATTGCATAGTCTTAAATATTCTCTGAGAAGTTTCCYTACAGGATGGGAAAAACACATATGAAATAATCTGTTCTGTAATTAGAAGAAAAACATATTACTCAAAAATGTACATAGCTGTAAATAAAAATGAGTATATATTGACAATATTAAAAATTTCTGAATTAATGAAGTTGAAAGACAATTAAACATGGCCAAGGGCCAGTACAGGCTTCATGTTACTTTGTACAGTAAATTGAATAGTGACTATAATTTGACAGAGACTGTCACATGGGCCTCTTTTCCATAAGAGCTTTCAATGTAGAGGAGAGAAGAAATACTGAAGAAAAGTGTAAGTATTAACCCAACAGAAGAAAAATAAATGCAGCTGAAAAGATATGAGCCTMATTCAGCATATAATCTGTATTTGGTCAATTTTGTACTTAATAGCTAGTCATAACCTTAGCATATTGTACCAATGTTCACTTAAAAGGCAGCTTTGAAATCACCAGCAATAGAAACTACACTTTTCTGGGCAATATTCCTGAACTTCAACATAAGTATGACCTCAGAGCTTGAGAAAATATTTTATTTTTTCAGAAATATACCTCTTTCTACTTTGATCTCGTCAAGGATTTCATTTTTGTCTGCTAAATCAGATTTGATAGCCATCTCTAGTTTAGCAATTTGCAGTTTCATTTGCTGTTCCTTTGATTTCCATTGCTGTTCATAGGTCATACAGAAGACACTGTAATAAAACATATGGTATGTGAAAAACTTTTAGAAATCAGCTTCAACAGAAAATAATAAAGAAAAAAGCTTTTAGTGGCACAGAGACCACTGTCATCATGTCTTAGGAATTAAGTAAACACATGCTGGTCTGCTGCTGTTGAAACCAAGGCGCCTTTCTCAGGCTGCGGTTAAAAAACATGAAAGAGTTTGTGGGATGAGCAAAGGAACTGGCCTTAATTTAGAGCTCCAAAGTCAAAAAGTTGGCAGCATGCAACATTTGTGGGACTAGAAAAGGAATTCAGATGAATATCCCAGAGTAATCCACAACTCCAAACCTCAGCAACTGACAACTAACAAAACCATTCTTTCCGCATACAAAACCTCTTAATGTAGAGAACTGGGATCATCCACCTGATTTCTTTTATATCTGTGAAACATGCAGAGCATAAAGTCAGTTGCCTGTTCAAAGAAAAATGTTGACCACAAAGTGACAACAGTTTTCTCATACTGTAAAACAACAATTCTGATACTGATTAAGAAGCACATTTAAAGTAATCTTTCTCCTACTTAAAGAAATAAAAACCAGAGGTGGGCCAAGAGTAACTATTTTGCCTGTAACACATTATTTACTTGTAAACTAGCAATCTATGTGCAATAAGGATTGCATGGATACAGAATTAGAACTTCTGAAACCACAACAAAATGTGTAACTCAGATTGAAACGAAATTAAGTATGTTATATAATTTACAKTGTAATTCTCTGTAGGCAAAAAGAAATCAATGCAATGAGTTTTCATATAAATTAGACAGTGAGTAATATGAGTCTTCATATTACGATTTTTCAATACTTGCATTCTTATTTAGTCGAAAAATGTCCATCTTAATGAAGCACAAACCAGTTCATTCACTTTTGTACTTCGTGAAAAATCAGTGATGTAGGGTTTTGTAAACAAAAACTGTCAGTTGCTCAACCCTTTGGTGAAGCTCATCAGTTAACAAACTTTATATTTTGCATACATAAATRTGTTAAAAATCTTCTGATATTTATCTGTTTATCCACCTATTTYTTCAAGACATCTATGTAATAAGCCTTTACCACAAAAAGAGAGGGGAAAGAAATGCTGTCATTTTCACACTTCTGAAAATGTTTTCAGGTTTGAATGAGCACAACACAAATTTACCAGTTGTGTTCATCAGCTCCAGGTACAACTACTTCACATCWAGATGTAGCTACATATTATTTCAGTTTTTCAGAAGACTGTGCAGGTAGAAAAAACATTAAGAATTACTATAATGGTAGTTAAGAATTTAGATGTTTAAATGAACATTTTGGAAAACAGGTTTTATCCATGCCCATACAATGCTAATGTTTATGTCAGTTTGAATTGAGTCCACGTGTGTCACTTTCTTCTTTTGAATTTTAGGATTATTTTTACTTGAATTAATGTGGAATTTCTTTCATATTTACTGTATTTCACTGGAGTTGGAGCCATCTGTGTAACTATAATGGTCAACCACATCTGGCACCATTTCCTTTGGAGGGAGTTTAAGCATTGCTAGATTTGCATTACAAGGTCATATGAAAACAATTCCTTCAAACCTTTTATACAAACGAATTGTTTTCTTGGATACTGACTAAATATTAAGAGTCAGCTAACAAATTCATACTTGTTCTTTGCAAACTTTTCAGACCATTTCTGCAGTCTTGGCTTTGGCAAAGTTTCCATCAACGTCAAATACATTTCCCAAAAATTACTYCAGAAAAAAAGGGGTTTATGTACCTTTTCCTCCATTAAAAAAAAAGAAAAAAAGTTATTTAACTGGCACCTGATTACACTGGCCTATCCACCATTAGCAGCTAAAGGCAAGCTGTAGTAAAGTTGTATTGCCCAAATAGGCAACTGAAAAAATTGGCCATTAAATGGTAGTTAAACAACTCTAATTTATTATTACCTGTACAGTAACATGGAACAATGAAACAGCGACCAATGTTGAAATGACAGTATATGAAAACACAGATCATTTTAGTAAAAGAAACACCATATTATAGATTACTGTGCTATAATAGAAGCTTATTTCAATTTCTCTAGTTAAACATCTTTKTAAGTTGTCCCATTATGATTTTAAGGAGGATAAAATATTTCAAGCCAAGATTGYAAGTTGATTTCTTAGTAAGAATTACTTCTCTGAACAATGATAGAGAATAAAAAAACTTAATCAGAAATATTTATGACATGATCAAAATTTGGAGAAGTCTACAGCAATTAAGTGAGAGACAAGTGACCAACTTCTCCATACGAAATGAAATATTGTGATTATATAACTGTTGCACCTCGTAAGTTAAAGTTTTAAGCTGTTCTCAGTTTTTTACTACTACAGTTTTTAAGCTCATTGTAGACCGTATAAAAAGTATGACAAATATTGTAACAATTTTGTATCAATCACATTATGCTCAGACATTGGCATTTTTTGGACAGACATCACAGTGGCAAGCCAAACAAATATTAAGAGAAGAAATAACTTGGATAACTTCAWGATTTACCTTCTGCAATTATAAGCTCTAGGACACGTTTCTTATTTTCTAACCCTCTTCAGTGTAAAAGACAACACAGGTTTCCAATAAAGGAAAAGTTCATTTGAAGGTCTTTTTTTTCATTTAATATAGTAGTGACAACTGACTATAATTACTTCTTTTCTGTACCAGAGAATTTCTGAATCATATCTTAAGAATGTATTTTCATTTCCTTTATAAGCASTGCTGATAAAACTTATACATCCTGCTATGTATAGGAACCTTTAAAAAAACTCATGAGCCTACATAAAAATTGCAAGCTGAATCAGAAGTGAAATGGTAGCTATTACCAAAACAACCAAACTGCCCCTCAAAAATAAACACTGGAGAAGYTGTCAAAGATAAACCTAAAGGAATATATGTCTACCAAAACACATTCTTTATTCAATAACCCTAAAAAAACTACTAGAAATTTAAATAAAAGCTTTTAAAATTTATGTTCAAAATRAAGTGATGCCTACTTATTTTTAATTACATTTTAAAAGAGGTAACCTACTATTTCAAGAGAATTAGAACAAGTWTGGAATCTGGTCTGTTTCAACAGAGCCAATGAAATACAGCAGAGCACCATGAAAGTTTCCATATATATACTCTCATATGAAGAACTACAGCATGAACATATTTACATGTGTGAAAAAACACACAGTATATACACATTCCAGCACAYAATACATGAAGAACTACTAAAAAAGGACAGGAATAAAATTTTCTATATCTTGAAACCCTAACTTACCGTATGCAGCTTATAGTAGTTTTTCTTCAAGAGTTCAGTCTCTTCTTTTGAATTGTTTATTCTTTCCTGTAAATTAAAGATAAAGGAAAATTTCAAATAATGCACAGCACAAAAGGAAATTACAATGAATGTGTGAAYAGAAATAGCAAATAGTTTTTAGGCAATGTCAGGCTATTATTTGTTCTTTTAATACAACTGTCTCTTAGAAGCTTCATAAGAAGATAAATCCCCATGGATTTACATTTGACCCAAAAACTTTTTCATGCTGTTTATATAAAACTGAGACCAGCATGTTACAGTTGATCAACAGTATCTAATCACATTCTGTCTTATGCAAAATGGTATAAAAACCTGGAGCATTACATTTTGAAACTTTCTTTTATTAAGTGAATATCAGTATTAGCTAGCATATGGCTTTTGCATAGAAAATATTTTTCTTGACATTACAGGAACAATACATCCTTGGTTCCTAAACACTCATTAAAGCAGGATATGGTTTTAAAGATAGGTTTTACTTAAATCAAGAGTATCTACACTCCATGTCTTACAACAGCTTAAAGGTTTGGAGCTAGTATCTGTGAAGTAACTTTTGTAAAATTGGTTCACATAAAATAYATTTACAATAGCTAAAGCACGTAGCAAAACTAAATATAAGTTGCTACAAAATGTAAGGAAAACCAAGYAAGTTTGCACACTCTTATTCCTCATACATTGAAGAAAATAGGGAAGAAACCATTTGATTTGTAGCCCTTTGTCTGGACAAGTTAGTGATGACAGTTATGTACCACCTAAAGTAAAAGATTCTAGCYCTTGACCACAACCTCACCTCTTCTGTCCTTCTGTTWKAAATAGCTACTGACTGCATTTTTTTTAAATGGAACCACTTTAACTGTTCCTTTTTAAGTTGTTCATTCAGCTCATCACCTTTTGCTAATGAAGCACCATGGTTAGTCTTCAAGTTCTTTAGGGACTGTGAAAAGTAAGRAATATCCAGAAAAAAATAAAATACATCACACCAGTAGAATGTGACAATACTGCATATTCCAATAGTGGTCTGCCCTGGCAGTATTTAGTGTATAAATTCTCAATGTGATCAACAGAAGACACTCGGTCCAAGGAACTGAACGCATGGACAGGGGAAGGTGGCACCCTTGGTACTCTCATGAACATTAAACCCTCAGTTCAGTCATGATGAAAACAACCAAGAAATACATCTGTTAAGCAATTAAAAGATTTTACTGTGGTTATAGTGGTTAGACATGCTGACCAAAAAACACTGCAGTAGCAAGCAAAAATGAATGTTGACCACAGTTATGGTAATCACAGAGCTTGCTACAGCTCTGTTAACCCTTAATTGTAGATCTATCATTTTTCCATAATCCTAATAYACTTAGTTGTAAAACTTTAAAGAGGGACTTCTGAATTCTTTTACATTTTCATTTATTTCAATGGATTATATTAAGGCTCATTTAACCAATTTTAATATTAAATGAAGGATGCTGATAGAACCTSTATTTTCAGAATATCAGCTAATACTACAGTGCCTACATTCCAGAAATGCTTTAACAAAGCCTTGTTCATTAAGAATTTCAATGTAAATTGCATTCRAAGTATGACTTGAAACAGAGCCCACAAGCCAATCTTCTGTTTAATAAAATGATTGYATGAAAGTCTATGATAAATACATAYGTGAGTATAGATAATGCTTAATGATTGCAGACAGAAAAAATTTTGCTTCATTTTTTTTCCATATAATATTCCTACTAAGAAGTTGAATGAAGAAGCTGAATCTGAACAAATCTATACAAATCTATACAAATCTATACAAATTGTTTAGGTTCATTTGCATCTGAATATACAAGAAACAAACAAAATCCCATTGAATACCAATCACCAACTTGATCTTCAACCTTTGATATCTCATTTCTGAGTAAGAATGTATCATGGAGAATAAACAATATTAGCCATTTGTCTTATTTCATAGAGTTAATAAAGAGTGTTGCTCATCAATTTTTAACATACTTTCTTCAGAGCTCCTCTTGCTCTGTCCTATATCTGTGAATTCTATTGCAATAACTTCAAAGAATTACACTTTAGAAATATTTCTTTTACAGTTTTCGTATCTCTCCATATTTTATTTTCTTTGGTTTTTTTTCTAAAATGCATTCTTTACCTGGATCATCTTCCATATCTGAGTATTCTCAGTCACCCTTTTTTTTCCATTATACACAAACTGTTTTGCTGTCCCGGGAGTATCCTAAGACTGAGGTCATGACAATTATCAGGATTATGATTTTAGTTTAATATTTCTAGTCTSAGATGCTATTTCTTTGGGAAACATGTAATGGTATTGTTATCAGTTAGAAAGAACTCCTTTAAAGAAAATGGAGATGCATCTCCTAGAAATATTGAACAAATGAACATCAACTTCTCTCTACTGCAGTTGAGAAGTTGTACCAATCATTCAAGGGAACTGACTCTCTTTAGTATTTTAACCTGCAGTTCCACAGATTAGCGTATTTCATATTATAATTTATGAAACACTGAATGCTCAATCTATAATTGAAGCAAATAAATTTACCAATGGCATCAAAGACATATTCCTAACAGTTTCAGTGTCCTTTTTTTCTTCTAAGCAGATTGCACAACTCCTTCATTCAACTGGCTACATTAAAATTCTCCATAAAAAATTGTCCTGTAAACGCTTAGTCGCAAGCTCAACTTCAATATCATTAGATGGAGCAGGATYATAGGCTTCTATCATTCTGTGGTTGCACATTTTGGACTGACTCAAGTTCAAAGGTGAACATGGACCAATGATATGGGTTTCAATTGGTAAAAATGGAAAGTAAATTATAATGGATTCAATAAACAACAAAAATCAAGACAAAGACAAAAAATGGTAAAACGTGTTCCTAAGTATGTTATGTGACATTAAAACTAGAAATTTTGGATTTTACAGTTATTCACATTTAGCATACACATCAAACATTCAAATTATTTAAAATGGGAAAACCATTGTATCTGTTCTTATAACAAAAGAGCCCCAGAAAACACTCATTCTTCTCTGAAATGTACCTTTCACTGTGAATATCAGAAACAATGTCTTCAAATACCAGCCTGAGTCCTAGCATGTGTTTCCATTCAGCTGCTGCCAAGAAAGAGGCAAAAGCACCTGAGGTTTGTTGTAAATTACCAGAAAGTCACATATGATTTAAAATGGAACAGTTTACTTATCACTTTTCATTTAAGAACACAAAAAGCCATGTGAAACCCTTCTTCCCKGAAACTTACATTCTACATAGCTCACCCCATGAAAAACTAGATTGGAACTACTAACAGAAGAGCTGCTTTAGCAGAAAGGATATAGGTATTATAGCAAAGAGGGGAGGAAGGCAAAGCCCAGCAAAATGTAGAAACAAAACAACATGGGGAAAAAAGGAATGGAWCAAAAATCTAATGGCACAAGTGGTGTTTAGCAGGCTAAAATAACAAGAAGCAGCCAGMAGTAAGGGTTTACAAGGACACCTAGTGCTTCCACCTAGGATACTTCATAAAGYTCTAATGCAGTGAGAATTCCCCTACTCACAGGAACTCTCCCATTTCCAAGCTGCCAGTCATAGCACCTCCATGCTCACAAGCGTTTCTCCAAATACATACAAAAGCAAGCAAGACCTGTGGAACTAAAAYCTATAGAGAATCTACCATGCAATTGCATGTTCTGGTGATATTTTCATAARAATTTCTTTTTATAAACAAAATTATTACTTACAGTAGTCTTCTAAAATAATTTCCCTGTGCACAAGTTAAAACCGAATGTGAAAACAAAACAGCCAAACCTCCCCATCTTTATCAAAGACTAATAAAGTGAGGGGGGCCTGGTATTCCTTTTTCAGTAAATCGTTATATTTAAATCAAAATTGTCTYTTTAAATCATCACTTTCAGTAACCAGACAACTCAGTTCATTCTTCACAATCTGCCTGGAATGACTTTGCAGATAAAATCACTAAGAGCTCCTAGACCCTTCTGAACAAAACCAAAATTTAAGACTAAAAGTCTTTACTCCATTTGGAGCAGCTTGAGAGAAATGTATATGTGGTTCATTTTCATGTACTCAGCATTGACTCAAAATCGGGAACTGTGTATAGGAACTGTGTATATTTTTTTTTCCCATTTACACAGGCTTATATAATAAGAGTATAGAAATGTACTGAACAAAATGCAAATATCTTCAAACTGGAGAAATTTTCCTTCCRTTGCTGAAAGAGCACTGCTTTTCTCAACCAGCTGTTTACAGATCTTGATAATTTCCACATTGTCCCAAATGTTTAGTCTTCGTATTTAGAAATACATCATGAGCTTAAAAATACAAAATTAATTATCATATTAGTTTTGTTTTGAAAAGATGAACTCTTTTGCAAGTCAGCTTTCTACAATATGTTTGGGACAAGATTTAGTATGTAACACCCAAAGTAATTTCTTCTTCTATAATTCACATTACAGAATGTAGATAAATAAATAGCTTCAAATTACATCATCTTTGATTGTTGTCTAAAACAGGACAAGGCAGAAAAAAAACTTCAATCCTGTATTTAAAGAGATTGTTTTCCACTCACTTTTCCACTCTCTTAAGTATTTGCTGCCAGTAGAATAACATTTTATGGAATTTCTTCTCCTAGTTTAAATATATCAAATACTGCTAAAAAAAGTGACTTCACAAATTGTAACATMTGAAGGCTTGCATTCAAACACATTGCAGGTGTGTCTTTACAGGAAAATCACGTAACATCTATGTAGATATTATTACGATTCTAAGATTACAATTCTAAGATTTGAGGGTGTATGTTAATATAAAAGATGTTAAATTAATRAATATTTAAAGAAATATTTATTTGGATGTTTTACTTCAAACAGTGCAACTGTTATTTTCATGGTTTCTTCAGGTGTGAGAAGAAAACTGATTCCAATTTGTATTAATATACATTATTATAAAATCTGAATAAATCTTTAACATTTGAAAAGGTAGTTTCTCTTCCAATATTTATCTATTTTAGACATATTGGACATAATGTCCCAATAGCACGCTGGAGCAAGAGAATGGACTACGAAGCTTACACATCTGTAAACCAGCTGAGTACGTGAAATACTTTCCCTTTATTCTTCAAAATTTCAAATGCTATTGTGTTTTGGCATTGCCCAGTTAATTGTCCTTACACAGAAGATAAACACAGTCCCAAATCTGAGATATTCCCCAAGAAATAGGCCTAACTCAATCCTAAAACTACCATGTGTCTAAAACATGTTATCTACATAAATTAAAGTTGTGGTGAGTATAGACAGCAGCACTGTCTCATGCTAGCTATTTAAAAGCTAATGTAGTGGCACGTTTTTATTAATCTTGTTCCACACATCAAACAAAAGAGTCTGATGTCTTCAAAGGCTTTTTTTCCCCCCTTCTTTTTTAAGCAGGGGACGTTTTTTCTTTTTAAGTAGAAAAAGGAGCAGATGATAGTGAAATTTATGATGTACAGATGTAAACTCCATAGCTTCTGACAGTCAGCATTAACTATTTTTTCAACAGTGAATGAAACAGCACTTGATTTAAACAGGTTTGAAATASTTTTATTATTGAATAAATTATTCAAATTCAGAAGTGAAAAATTACTTTTTATTTTGATCATTTAAATTCTTGCAATTTTAAGCAAGCAAGTGCAATTACTTCTTAGTGCATTGTATCAATCACTATTTATTTATTTAAATAAAATATGCCTAAGAAATGCCCCCTGCAAACAGSTATATGAATGTTCTTGCTGTTGAACAATGAGATCTTTTCAGATTTCGMGTGAAAGGCGAAGTTAATAGAGGAAGACTCTGTTGGCAATGATAATTTTTCTGGAAATTAAGTCACAAACCAGTAGAATAGAAACAGATGATCTGCACAGGTTTTTCCCTCCCAAGTAGGTATATTCTGCTCCCCAAATACCTGCTCAGGTATTGTGATGCAACTTAAAAATAGGGGTTATATACAGACTTAATAGAAAATAAGTATTATTTTTCACCTAAAGAAATATTTCCCTCAAAGAAATATTTCCCTCAAAGTAATTTCCCTCAGTTGTACTGAGATAGAGCTCAATCAGTATTTTCTTTACTGGCAAAAAAAAATTGCCACAGAACCTAGACACATGGAAGTAGAGCTGGAACAGAAGTCAGAAAATGAAAAGGAAATAATATCCCTTTGGAGGCAGTAACATGAATTAATGGGCAAACTGATCTAACTCTATGCTTTGTACCACAACTGCAGAAATAAGGAACTTGAACGCTATCCTTCCACTTTAGACCTCATCTTCATGCTGATTTTAAAAGTCTGAAATTGAAAATGAAGTTAGGAGAAAGTGACTCTTTAAAAAGCTAAGAATTATCTTTGGGGTTAATGCCTGAAGTACACCAAAGAGACAATCTCTTTTCCAGACCTCTTATCATTTGGATTAAAAGCATATAGAATGGAGTCCAAAAACAGGCTGGGGACCAGCTGTGTGGGAATGGGGCACTGATAGCAACCTACACCAGAAGGAAATGATTAAAGAAAGGATCTTGACCTCCACTGTACAAATTTATGCCAGTAAATCCCAGATGGCTAAGCTAATAAAATTGAGGTCTAATTAAACCACATCCCTTGCATCTTGTCTTTGCTTCCATATGAGCAAGACATGCATACAATACAGAGACTACTCTTAAGGAGTCCTGATTATTGTATTAACTAGATTAGTGGCTCAAAAACTTTACACATTCATATTCAAAACTGGAAAACCAAGCAAAGGAAAATACATAACACCACCAAATTTCTCAGGGTTACTTGCCCTCTGTCTGGCAAAATAAGAAAAGGCTTTTCAGCTAATTGTTCTCAACCACAAATACACTAATGGCCAAGACAGACACACAGACTCCCAAGCACCGAAGAACTGAAGATGAATGTGCAGTACTATCTAAAAGATCTACACACACCKAATAGATTTAAATAATACATCTAATAGATTTAAATCCAGATTCACAATGCAGCAAAAAATGCCAAAGGAACTAAAAAATGATGGGMAAACAAGCTTTTTTCATTGAAAAAAATCAGCTAAACAAAACACACAAAAAAGGCACAAAGCTTTGGTGCGAGTACCTTTCACAATTGCATTCTGGGATGGCCTTAAAGATGTTTCTGGAATGTACTATGGGTTACTAAATTATCTCAAGACAGCTGTTTGCAAAATGACCTTATTTAGAACTAATGTTTTACTTTGCACACTGTGTATTATAGACATCAAACCTCATGGTCGTGGCTTTGGCCATCTTTTAATAAGAWGAGTCGAGCTAATTGCAGATAAACTTTATACTTAAAATGTGTTTAGTCAATTAATTCAAAGGCCGAGCTTGTTTCTTAAGGCAGATTTATACGTTACTGAAACAATCCCCAAACGAACTGCAATATGGAAAAAAACATTGATTGTAGCCACATTACAATAATAATCTCAAGGAGTACTGCATATGAACTCAGCTCTGTTATGTAGGTCTTGTGGTGTTAGAAACTGTAGTGAAGCTGCAAAGGCAGCTTTAAAGGCAGATTTTTTGTGGTAACCAGTACCTCCCTTCCTTATTGGTGATGGAACTAATGATTAACTGTGGCTGCTTCACTATTTGGAAACTAGATATTTCAATCACAAGAACTTCTTAAACATGTAACAGGATAAGGCATGTTTTCCTAAAAATTGACAGTAACCTAACAGCACGCTGACATCAAATGGTGCTACCGGAGAGACTCATGGAAGCACAGTCCTTTTGGCACCACACAGCTCCTAAAGAATTTTAACGTTGTCTTTACAGTGGTTATGTAGCAGAATGACAGCCACGTGTTTTCTTACAGAACASAAGAAAAAGCTGCTAATAATAGCAAAATTCAAAGACACAAGCTACAAAGACGAACTAAAATGACCTAACTGGTCACCCAAATTTCCAGGTTTTTCCCCAGTATTCCAGTATTCATATAGGATAAAAAATACATGACTTGGAAAACATGGGGATTAGGAGTTTTCCATAAAGTGTTCTGGTGGCAAAATTATAGAACACATATTCCAAATATGTACTGGTTAACATTTTTCAATTTATTTCCTAGTATCTTCAGTCAAACACAGTAACTCAAATGCTAACATATCTTCTATCAGGCTTCAAATGAGAAATAGCCTAGGAAGGAAATACTTCCAGAACTTCAGACATGAACTCACAGATAGTAACCTAGGTCAAGTAWCATTGATTGGATACAAGTAAGTTCATAAACATAAATAAGGATCTACACTACATTTTAGAGCCTGACTTTAAGGACTTTTTAGCTGAATTTGAAGTGCATCTTTACTTTCAAACTCYTTAAGTCTTCACATAAATATGGCAGTTGACATAGAATTTAGATATTATCTTCAGTTTCTGTCTGCTGTATTTGAAGAAGAGTGTTTATCAACAGAAAAATGAAGCACAGAAGTTYTTGGAAATAGATTATTTTCAAATAATGAAAAAAATATTTAAAATATTTTCTGAATTCACTGTAGGCACAAACTGAGAAATTATTTATGATAACAACTTCTTTAACCTATTTAAACTATATAAAGGAAATTCTGAATAGGGGAGACTTATGACTCTGTGAATAATTTAATAGCAAACATTATGATGTATTATTTATGTAGCACCACTGATGCAGAAAAGAATGCTCACACATAATAACGGGGTCCATCCCTTGAAAGGCAGTTATAGAACTSATGATGTATTTCTCATCCAAGGAGAACTTCCATTGAAATCAGACGAGTGAGGAATGCAGGATAATGCCATTAGATCCTTAATACAATTAACAGTAACAGTCTGAAACTGAAACAGTCAAAAAAGGGGAAAACACATGCAAAGCTGTGTTTTTGCATGCATTTTTTACAAAAGTAAAAAAGAGAGAAAAGATTAAACTAATACAGGCTTTATTATGAACACATTGTGCACGTTTGCCTCACTTTGCTGCCCTGCATAGCTACACCTAATTTGCTAATCTACCCTTATACAAGGCCAATAGTTTTCTACTATTTCTAGACTCCAAAGTATTAATGGGTACYAATGAATATTAAATTGCTTGCTATTAACTTATACCTACAATTTTGTARAAATTATATTGAAGATCTTTTGSATCAACTTGCTATGGTATTTTTAAAGCAGCCAAACACAAAGTAGATACAGTAAACTATATCTATTCTTTATCCCAAATATTGGTTACTAGATTTCTAGTAAGTCTTCCACTTAGGAAAATGTGTTCAAGAAACTGCATACTCAGAACACCCAAATTACCAGAATCCCCTCKGGTTTGGACAAGGCCTCAGAAAGCAGACAAGCACTGGAACTTCTGCAAAATTCCTGAACATTGTTGTCTGAGCTGGATGTCCTGTGTACAGCTTTTCCTTTTGTTTGTTTATTTTTTTTTTTTAATGCTCATGTTTTCTTCAGTTTAATAATCTCTGCCTTAATCAATATGGTCCCAATTCTAGTTCTGCACAGGACATCATAGATCTGGATCTGTTTTTGTGCCAAGGTAAGACCCTCCACTGTGTCATATCAACATCTGATCTGTATTCCTCTTCTATCTGGTAGCACTGGGCCTGAAAAAATTCATTATATTTCTACCCTATTTTTGCATTGTTAAGATAAAAATCAAACAAATTGATTTTGGGAATAAAACTGTGCAATGAATGATACGAAGTGTAGAAAAACATTGGTGTATTGAAACTGTCAAAGCATGCACGAGGAAAACTGGTAGAGACAAACACACTTTTTATRTGTGTAAAAACATGAGAATTGTTTCTGATACCTGAACAATCAATATAATGAAAATGAAGAGGGGTGTGAGGGTGTAACTGGCCACTAGCCTGATTCATAGCTTCTGGAAGTTAAGTAGATGATTCTGCTGACTCAGTTTTGAACCAGGGCTGTAACTCTTGGGTTTTTTTTTAACACATTATCAGTTCAGTGTGTAAGTTAACTGAGTACAACTATTTCTATAAATGTTCCTATGAAAATATGAAGGTTTAGAACTGTGATTTCCAAGTGCAACTACAATAAGTTAAGGACTGAGAATGAGAGTGCCTTAAGCAGTGAGCCTCAACATTAAAAAGCACCATTATAGATGCCTACATGGTAGTGTTTGCTTTTCAAAGTCCACACATGTGATAGATTTTTCAGGTCTGCAGTGCTGTGCACACATGTATCAAGAGACTAGAACAAACCTTGAAATYAAAAAAGGAAAAACATGCGCAAACAAACTACAGATGTGAAACTTTGTTATAACATGACAACACTAAACTTTTTCATATACTACTTTTATAACCTTTTAACATGTAGAGAAGTTATACTAAGGAAGTGCAATGATTTTAACTATTAGAAAACTTGCCTGATAGCTAAAGTCTTTTCAAATCTGTACTTTTGTTTAACCCTGACTACTGTGGATTCTCATCATAAGGACTTCAAAAGCAAACAAGCTATCATGACTGCCCTAAACAAATACAAGGGGAAACAACAATCTGCCTACAGGTACTGTTATTGCCWACTGATGAACAAAACCAGTATGGACTTGCTAGAGTGAAGCAATTATTAGGGATTCTGATATAAACCACTCTTTTTAATAAAGGCGAATTACACCTTTCTTTGTGTGCTCTGACATACCAGCAGCCTCACTCATTTTTTWGAGACCACTGCTAATAAAAGATTGAACACAGCTGTATGGACAAGATCTATGGCCTGGAATCTGGAGCTGCCGGTCAGCTGAAAGGAGTTTGCTGGGGAGGCTCTCATTTTGTTTCTCAAGCTCATGAACTCTTTCTTGCCAATGTTCAATCCTTTCTTCCAGCTCCAGGCCTGACCCAGCCACTTGGGGCCGCCACCAACCTGATCAGACTTTTTTTATCATTAACAAGCTGTATTAACTTGGTGGTCATTCTGGGGAAAATAATAAAAAAAGATGAAAAAGAATGTGAAAAGTCAGCATAAAAAGCATTCTGTTGAAAGGAACATAATCACTGTGAAGACTTCAGCATAGAACCTGAATAATAAATTTCAGGTTTTGATATAACTATTACTGCCTGTGAAGAACTCTTTGAAGATAATTGAAACCACTGTGCAGCAATCTGCTTTATAGCACTGACAAATAACAGTTTCCTAAGGCTTATCATTTAAGGTTAGTAAAGGGAGGACACATATTTACTCCATATGCTGCTTAAATGTAATTTTTAACGCATGACCTTATATAGGAACCTCYGCATGCTGTTAAGTAAAGTTACAGATTTGGGATGTGGTGGGGCAAACTCTAAAAGCTACAATTCTKCAGAACATTCAACTRCTGAAAGAATGCTAATAATTTGCAACATTCCAATGATACATAATTTCTAGTATTTTAGGACTGAAATACATATTTCATGTCTAAAGTGGCTAAAATATATAGGTGAAGATATTTAAGAAGATACTCTGGAACAAGAGACTTAACAGTTCTCATTCCACACGCAATTTTATACTTGGCAAATATTATCAAGTGCATGGAGAAGGAACAGTAAGCTACAGAATATAATCAGACACAGAAGGTATGGTTGTCATCTGTCTTTAAAAGAATACAAATTTTGGTTTTGGTATGTCAAGGGTTGTACCTTTAATTTCCCTTAGTTTTGATAAACATTGGTAAACTAGAACAAAAGGCAGGGAGGGCACATAGGGGTGATGTAACATGCTYGAACAGAAAACATACCCAGCAGTGAATGCAAAAAACTTGGCATACAAAGAAAGAAAAGGTGGCTTTGATGAGAGAGACAAGTTCAAGACTTTACAAAGTCGGCTGCGCATCTTCGAGACCTGTATCTAGTTTACAGGGAATCTATTTTTGAAGGCTCAGAAACAAAACGGAAAATAAGGACACATTTCATTTGTTTAAAGAGGCTTGCTTTATTTTTTGTATACTTGTGGACAGAAGCTTCTACTTAAAAGAACAAAAGTGAAACAAAAAAATCCATAATAACTTCAGGATGTCACAGAATGTTACTTGCCTGTAAGCAGGTTTTTTGATTACGTGGAGTTATTTCAGTGATCTTCTGCTGCAAATTCATTCCAAACCTCCAGTTAAAAGGGTTTTGGTGAAGGATTCTGGAAAAGAAATTCAGTTTGAGAAGCTAAGATTTTTTCTCTGGCAAACACTGGTATTTTTGRTTTTCTGTGCCATGAAGTATTAATTCAGGTATTTCAATTTGGATATTCCATGTAATGCTACCTAAGTGGATGATGAGTGAATTTAGTAAGTCATCCAAGAGAATCACAGGAAAAGCCATTTAGAAGAAGCAAATGATGCATTTGTTCCACCATCTTGTGTTTGACAACAGCTTGACAGAAAAGATGGAAGTTACGTCATGCTGGTCAATTTGTTCCTGAATGACTGAATACTGAGTGAAAAGGAAAGAATGCTTTGGACTTACAGAATTATTAAATAGTCTCATCCATGTACAGAGGCAATATTTTCAGCTGTCCTTTTATGAATCTGTTAGCTTCTGACYACACCTTGCTTGGATGAAGAGTGATTTGATTAAGTACAGCACCATGTGAGRATGGACTCACAGCGCTTTTGGATGAATCAGCCCTCTTGCAATGTATAATACATGCACAGTTCTGCTGAGCCCACATTGGTTTGACAGCACAGCACTAAGTTTAATAATAAGTCTGAAGTTGCTTGGGTACATTTGGGCACACTGGGTAYATTTGGGCACACTGGGTACTCTGCTCCTCATGCTACTCGGGACTCCATCACTCAAGTTTTCTATTACACTGAATAGAGGATAGCTTGGGCTAACTGGATGATCAGATAATCAATTACGTTGGATAAGACCTCTCCAATCATTAAGTCCAACCTTTGACTGAACACCACCTTGTCAAGTWGRGCATGGCACTGAGTGMMACAAGCAGTCTTTTCTTAAACACCYTTCTGGGCAGTCMATTCCAAGGTTTAATCRTCCTTTCTGTGAAGRAATTCTTTCTAATATCCAWYCTGAACCTTCCCTAGCCCAACTTGWGACTAAAGGGTAGATGAYAGTCAATTTCTTGACTATYTTRAAGGCCAGAGAMTCAYRAAAATAGGGGTGGAATCTCACTGTGTAGACCATTTTGATTCTAGAATGAAATTCCTGATGAATCATTAGGCTTCTACAGACTCTCCTACAGTTCTCAGTATACCTGCTGYACTCTTAACAGCACAGCTCTGAACWCAAGGTACCAGCTCCAAAATGACATAGTGYTGTACCTTTGTACATGGAGACCTAATACAGACCACCACAAAGACATACATGTACAGAGATAACCAGAAATTAAAACAAAAATAAATTCCAAAGACTGATCTTTGCTACTGCTTTAAAAACTGCTCTGAAAGAAATCAGCATTTTTAATTCACTGATATTTTAAAGGACAAAAATCTGACTGTAAGCTAAAATAAAAATATTAACTCCATACCTTTTAGTTTTTTCCTCTTGCTTATTTGCACACTGCTTGAGTAAGATGTGATCATCATATATATGATGAAATCTCCCCTCCATTTCTTCTCGACTGATTTGTTACACAGCTTGTTGAGCTTTTACAATTCCGTGCAGTTGATTCTACCCAAACAAAGACAACTTTAAATTACCTCCTATACATTCAACAACATGTAGTTCAAAGCAAAAACTCACTCTGAAATACTGAAAACCACTCCCCCACCTTTTCAAGCAATTTTATGTTTTACACTTGTAGGAGTCTGTTGATTATTTTATTTAGATTTATTGTCATTTGAATTGCTTCTTTTTTCCTTCCTCTTACAGATTCAAAAAAAAAGCAATTAAAATGATACATCAATCTGTTTATGTACTAGACAACACAAAKGTAACAGTTTAGCAAGTAACCAGGTTCTGCCAAAGACACTATTTAAAAATAAACATTACCAAAKAGATGCCTTCTAATCTGTTCCAAAGTTAACATACTCTCTTGAAAAGATTAACTCATAATTCTGTCAATTTACTCAGACACAAGATTAGGCCCAGTTGTTCCATTCTCATAGCAGCTGAGTAACATATCAGAATTGCATAGTACCTTTGGTTCCCRTTTTGTTAAATGGTTCTGGCCTTGTCCTTAATTCTGCAAAAATGTCCTCTTTTCTGCTGGAAGGACGAATGTTATAGYTCAATGACATTTCCAGTTTTTAACATCTCACAGCAAGTCCCCTCTTGTAACAAGTAACTTGAACATAGAATGGGYCACATAATCTTTCAGAATTTGAGAATAACCCAGATTTTGAATGGTACTTGTACTTAATTTTGTGAGTTGGCAACATCAGARACATTTTTAGAAAGAAACTAAAGAAGCCACTGATCAAAGTCTGTAGCTGTAATAAACAGCAGCTGGTACAAACCTCGTAATCCTTCAATTCCAGCTGGAGCTAGACCTGTATGTCTCAGGCAGGTCCCCCACAGTTACAYGAGCTGCAACAGGCACGGCTTATCTAGGGATAAGAAAATTGAAATGAAATTCCTCTTTATCTTTTATTTAAAYTGAGACTAGAATGAACATTTCATTATATAAAATGAAGGAAAAAGTTATGGTAGATTCACTGAAATGACAGATTTGTGAATGCTCCCATCTCAACTGGATTGCTCAAAGGACAATCTGAACTCCCAAATTTAATTTTATGTGAGTTTTAATCMATTCACAAAACAYACCTTTGCTGTACAATAGCCCCAAYTGTATTTCATGTATGTACAATTAGCTTTCTTAAGTTCTGTAGCCTTCAGCAATCTTTGGGCTAAGCCTGTATTTCCAAGTGGATGTGGGAAAGGGACATAGGTTTTTTTAAATTTAGTTGGGGTGCTTTTAATTGTTTGTTCATTTCAAAGAGGTGAAAGCTTAAGGCATCAACTGATAGATGAGTAATGCCATCTTCCACATTTTGAATGGAGCTCTTTGAAACAGTGGTGTTGGGGGTTATGAAGTCATTCCAGTGACACCTGGCATGCTCTAAGTCTTCTTTCAATCTTTGTTATATAAGAAATTACTTTTGAAGATAAGGGTTCTTCTATGAATGATTCTCATAAATCTAAACACGTTTCTATCTTCAGGCAACAAAAAGCTTAGCTACATGACAAAGTAAGATTAGGAAAGTATTAACGTGAAAAAGTACTAATTTGTTTTGGTGTAATATATGAACATACTTGTTAACAACTGTAGCTTCTTTCTTGTCTTCTGGTGCAGAAAATTACAYGTTGGTCACTGAGCCAAGTAATGCTGAAACAACAGGAAAAGGAGAGGCATGATGTCCTTTGGGCAGTCTTCCCCCCAAAAACCATTGTTACACTCTTCAGGTGATATAAATCCTTAATCAATCCAAAAACATCCAGCAAAGCACTGGGAAATTAACAGTGATGCTACTAGAGACTTGCATCAGAGGGCAAAAACAACACAGGATAATCAACAGACATCCCATGAAATATTTGTTAATTCGATTATAATCAAAAGTGCTGCCTAAGCTATCTCTTTCTTCCATCATAAATAAGTCTCCTTCTGGCTTTGTTCTAAAGAAACAAAAGGGATTAATGGAAATATAGTTTCCAACAAGTCAGCCTTGCTTTWAATCTTCCGTTTTTTTCATCACTAAAATTCATGATAAAATATCATTTCCAGATTTCACTGTTTATAAATAAACAGGAACACATTTTTCTTCCATGTGGAACAAACGTTTCCTTATCATGACCATTGAAATGAACTGATGTAGTATTGTAGACTTCAATATGGTTGCAGTTTCAATGTTGTCAGTGACAAAACAGAGAATACTACTCTGTGATGTTGACATCCACACCACAAAGCCAATGGCACAATTGACAACCAACAACAAATACACATCAACTGGAATTCAGCGCCTCAGCACCCTTGGCTCTTTTTGCATTACTTACACAAAACCTTCAAAACTTGTYTGTAATTTGTTAAATCAGCTCTATCTGCAGTTATTGGCTTCACTCAGGTCTAGGTTTGTTATTTTATGTTCCTGCACCTAGTATGGCTACAGGAACTGAGATCAAAGGGAAATAGTAACCTTTACCTCTAGAGGATCATTAAAATTTGGTTCATGATGGTACCAAGGAGATGCTACTATGATACATCTTTTCAGAATGTGATTGTCCTTGCTTCCACAAATTAAAAATGACAGGGGCTTTTTTTTTTTTTTTGCAAGTTTCACGAAGAGCTAAACAAGTATTTTATCAGCATGACTCCACAATTTTCATCATCTATGAAAATAAGGCTTCAAAAACTCTAGCAGAGTAATAGGAACAGACAAAGATTACTGGTTTGCACTATCTGCTACTTGCTACAAAACTTTCCTGTGGATATCTACCTGTTATCTGCAGTGTGAGAGAAATATACTAATTTAAAAACAGAGACAAAATAACACATGATTGTCACTCAAATAAACAAAAAACTCTTGTCAGCAGTGATCCATTACTGGCTGCAGCAAAACCACAGAAATACTTAAACTGTAAGCAAACTAATATAGCAAAAATGCACACAAATCCAGTTTGTACTGGCAACATGACATGACTTGAAGTGACAAAATACAGCAACTTTAAAGTGTCCTGAAAACTCAGAAGGTGAAATTTTCAAGAGGAAGAGGAAGAATTGCTTCATTCCAATTACAAAGTGACAGAAATTAARCATTCAGCTATCTTTTCTGTCCTGGGCCACAGAAAAATAAAATAAAAACCCCAACCATATTAATGGGTTTTATCAGATACAGTGGTTTTAGATAGAAATAGTACAAACATGCTCCTGGTTTTAATGAAACCATATATAAATACAGATTTAGAATTTGGCCTGGCAATTTATTTGCCTGATTAGTAACGTAGTTATGTCTTTAATAATCTCCAATAACCAYCACTTATGCTGCTGCTTAGAGAGAGGACACTTCAAACATCAAAGCATGTTCTACATATGCTACAGTTCCTCTTTGAATATTATCTCAGTGTCAATCACAAACACTTAAAAATTACTTTTCTTTGCTCTCCAGTTCCATCATTATTTCTAAAACCATATGAGATTTCTCCACGGCATGCCATATTACATTTGAAAGCATTTCCAAAGTGATTACTTCTGACAAAACTGTACTGCAACACTGCTACAAAAGTGATGGTACTTCAGAATGCATCATTTCCTAAAAGAAAGCATAACAAAGCGAGAGAGACATAATTTTGTATTTGCACCTGGACAAATCCATATGCCATCCTCAACCTCAAAAACTTAAACAGTTTTACTTCCAAGAAAGAATACCCTACAATCACTTCAGCACATATTGGTCCTCAAAAATAAGAGAAAATAACTTAATATACAAGAGAAATATTCTCTGTATCTCTGGGATTAATCTGTAAGAACTTGAAGTTAGGTATAAGAAAGAATTTTCGATAGTTACTGAAGTTAAAAACTGTTACTCCCTTATTCACTGCACTATTTACAAAAGTGATTCTATCACCACCTGTATCTGAAAATTTACTACAAAAAACTGCRCACAACTCTGCCCTGTTACACAGGGCCAGAGAGAAATGAGACTAATACTTATCAAACCTCACACTTTAGGTCCAGATTCTTACATAACTCAAAGAAGTGTAGTTTTGCACTACCATCATTCAGAAGTAGTAAAWCTAAGTGGGTATTACTTAATCTTTTAGAAGATCTCAGTCAGTGGGTCTAGAAGAGGCTACCAGTGGAGGGATTTCTAGTGAAATCATAAAAATTACAACTTAATTGTTTCAACATGGATTTTGACTTTGAGTCTCAGACATGGCCAAATCCTTTTGTTACAAAATCCTCCTTCACTTCTCTGGTTGAAGGAATTCAATAAAGGAGGTGAGAGGGACCACCCACCTATCTTAGCTTAACACAACGGATGTCCAGCCCATGTTCTATTGAGTCCTTAAAAGATAAATGTTTGCACTTTACTGGACTTGCAATCTAAAATAATCTCATTTTGTACTTGGCAGAAATATACACACACATCACCTTTCAAATATCTGTTGCGTCGCTGTGTGTTTTGGGAGGTGGAGAGAAAAATAAGAGAAGACATGGAAGATATTAGGAAAMGGCATCACAACGTCCCGCTGTTGCCTGAGGGAAGAAACATCTCTCAGACCTGTAAATCCCACTTTCACACCGAAAAATCGAAACGACCGTGTCTTGCCTTCAACGTATTTCACAAGTGCCGCCTAAATTTTGGCTCAGCTGCGCCAGTTCGGGCGGTGACTGAAGGGATGGAAGGGGCAGGGTCACAGGAAGGCAGCGTTTGCCTCATGAAGGAACGCCTACACTGCTCGGGCTGTCCCGCCCTCGGGCATACCAGCTCAACTCCCGCTTCAGCCCAGAACCCTTTCCACGTACAAAACACAGGYCTACAGTGTTTTAACCAAACGCTGAGGGTTCCGCCTTTTGCCTCAGGCACCGAGCGAGGAGCCTCACCCGTGTGGAACCGGCGCCCTCAGAGCGGCGCCAGCCCCGCTCCTCGCCTCTCCGGCCGGCACCGCCCGCTGCGGGACACGGCGCCACAGCCCCGGGCTGGTGCGGGAGCCCCGGGATTGCAGCAGCACCCCGGCATTGCTGAGGCACCCCCGGGATTGCAGCGGCACCCCCGGGATAGCTGAGGCACCCCCGGGATCGCTGAGGCACCCCCGGGATCGCTGCGGCACCCCGGCATTGCAGCGGCACGCCAGGGATTGGCGCGGCACCCCCGGGATTGCAGCGGCACCCCGGGATTGCTGCGGCACCCCCGGGATTGCTGAGGCACCCCCGGGATTGCTGAGGCACCCCCGGGATTGCAGCGGCACCCCCGGGACTGTTGAGGCGCCCCCGGGATTGCTGCGGTACCCCCGGGCAGCTGCGGCACCCCTGTCCTGCCCGCGCCGTGCCCAGAGAAAAAGAAACTCCCCCGTACTCACGACCCCGCCAGCCCCGGGCTGCTCTCAGCGCTCCGTTAGCAACTATCGCTGTTGCCAAGCGGCCCCTTCCCCTTCCGGGCCGCCCTGGGCCTGCCGGGAYTTGGAGTTCGGGGCGGGGCCGCGCACTGCCCGCGGAGCCGCGGTCCGGCCGCTGCCGGTGGAAACGGCGCGGGGCTTTCGCGGTGCCCGGGGCGCTGCTTCGCTCCGGGCGAACGGCTAAAGCGGCACCATGAAGAGGAGAGCAGGGGAGCGGGAGAAAGAACTGAAGGTACCTTCTGTTTGCTTCCTGCTCCCCGCAGCCCCGAGGAGTGTGCCCGTGGCCAGCGCTGTCCCCGCCGCTCGTGGGGCTGTGCGGGGCAGAGCCCGCCGGGGCTCCGCTGGTTCCAGTGCTGGAGCCCCGAGCGAGGGGACTCCCGCGGCCGCCGTGGAGTTCATTGTGRGAAGGAGCCCGGCGCCGAGCTCGGCGGTGCCACAGGCGCGGTTCCGGCGGCAGCAGCACGGCCGTGTGTGGCCAGCGCCGCCCCGCGCCCCCAGCGGCTCCTGGGGCTGTCCCGGGCCGCGCTGCCCGCGCACCGCGCTCTGCTTAACCTGCGCATCTCGGATCCCTTCTCCCTTGAATGAGGGCCACCTTGTACAGCGTTAACAGCAGCTAGCGCTAAAGCCGTGTGCCATCTGGGCAAGATAGCTCCATTTAAAAGAGTTCTGTCATACACAAAAAATTTATGCGAGGACTGTATGT